GTTTATTTCTTGTCAGCTACGCCTATGCTGCTGAGTCCACTAGAAGAACGAACAATTGTCTCATGTCGGTCACCTGCTGCCTCAAACGAGTGTATCAAATCTACCGAAAATACGAATCATTCGAAGAGCACAACTGGGTCGCAAGAGTTCATGAAAATCCTGCATAGTCTGGAGTCATCTGAAGCATCCAGTTTACGGGAGTCTTGCGTGTGGTTTGTTGTTTGGGGGGTTCGTCATCCACTGGATAGGGGTTCAGAGTCTCGCCTCTCTGAAATCTTACTGTAAGTCGATACGGAAGTGGCGGCATTGAAAAACGATCTCTCGCGGCTGCTGGTAAAGCATTTCCCCGAGACCACGGTCAAAGTCCGTTCGCATTAAAGTCGCCGGTGTAGATCTTGATGCCACTCTTTGGAATATTATCCACTTTCCTGTGACGGTGATGGTGGCAAAAAAGCGTGAATGACGTGACGGCATAGATCCCCGAACAGTGGCAACTGAGGGACGTTTTAATGGGTTAACAAATGGGTGGTATACAACAATGGATGTAACACACATCATGTAGGGGACGACGGGGAAAGACGGCCATTCTTTGGATTATGTTGTAAAATACATTTTGGCAGGTGAAACGCCGAAATGGATAACTAAAATAAACATTCTGTGTGTCGGCGGCCGGCACTTGTTATTTTGTGTTTACGGAATTTTATATGTGCATAAATATTAACTCCCTGCGCTTCGGTCAGAGAGCGTATAGGGCGTCGTTGTGCCAATTTGGTCGTGGCACATTTCGGGTATGAGATAGTAATTGCAGTTGGATCAAAAGTGCCTGAGAAAAATGCAAGTACTTTCGCAGATTACCCGAAGTTGCGATAGTGAAGATATGATCAAAGACAAGCAGACATAATACTCTTAAAACGTTCATCGAAATCGCTTTTAACTGCCAATTTAAATGTTTCTTAGTTGGTAGTACCGCCACTTGTTGTGCACATAATCAATTCCCTAGCGTTGACGTTTAAACACTACAGCTACAATTTAGTGTATTACCCATCATAGTGTATACGACAGATGGCGTTCAATGTGTTGTGTATGTATGTCTGTGATATAACATCGAGGTAACGTTAGGATAAAATCAAAACATTGAGAAATATAACGCATCACTTTCAGAAATACTTCACTTCGCAACCGATGAACCATTCTGACGGCCAAATGAGTACCCAAGTAACCATGTAGTCGCAATATAGCTTGAATATTCTTACTTTGCTTGAGTATGGTTAGTAGAGTGATGCAAAATTTAAAATTTTCGCTCCACAATACTTAAACGATTCCAAATCGGATCCTGACTAACCTCTCAAAATTTGAACCCATTTGGTGAGAAACTGAGATGGCACAAACCATTTGAAGTTTGTATGGGAATTACTATGGTAAAACCAAGATTTTTGTTCATGTCTATCTAATAATTCACCATATCGGTCTGCTTCAAAAGCTTTCAACTGTACTTGTAGGAATTTTTCCCAGCTGCAACTTTTTGATTAAATGCAAGGATCGAAAGTTACCAATGGTTCAATGCGCTGATGTCTTATGATCATGCTCAATCAACTGATCAGCAGGCAACATTGGTGTTTCTGGGGCGTTGAATAGGACACAAAAATCATGGCTACTAAAGGGTGATACGGTCAAAATTTGGTCAAGGGAAAACGCGTGTAAATCGGTGAAATCGTTTATTTAAAAAATCAAATTAAATTTCTTTTTCAAGTTCAATTAGTATAAAATTCAGGAAAAATATTCAGTTAGGCTTCCGCTTTTCCAAATCCGAATTGCCGGGCCTTACGCTTGACCCCTGCCATCAGATTTTGTACAGCCACCTTGTCCACCTTCTTCGCCGCAGAAAGCCAGTTTGCCTTGAACTGCTGCTCGCCCTTAGCAGTTTTTTTGGTCTTCTTTAGGTTCCGCTTGACAATAGCCCAGTATTTCTCAATTGGGCGGAGTTCTGGCGTGTTGGGAGGGTTCTTGTCCTTGGGAACCACCTGCACGTTGTTGGCGGCGTACCACTCCATGGCCTTTTTATCGTAATGGCAAGATGCCAAATCCGGCCAAAACAGTACGGAACAACCGTGTTTCTTCAGGAAAGGCAGCAGACGTTTATTCAAACACTCTTTCACGTAAATTTCTTGGTTGACAGTCCCGGAAGCTATGAAAATACTGCTTTTCAAGCCACAGGTACAGATGGCTTGCCAAACCAGATATTTCTTTTCGAACTTTGACAGTTTCATGTGCTTGAAAACATCTGCTACCTTTCCCCTTCCTTTTGCCGTATAAAACTCCTGTCCCGGAAGCTGCTTCTAGTCGGCTTTGACGTAGGTTTCGTCGTCCATTACCACGCAGTCAAACTTCGTCAGCATCGTCGTGTACAGCCTCCGGGATCGCGCTTTGGCCGTCGTATTTTGTTTATCATCGCGATTTGGAGTCACTACCTTCTTGTAAGTCGATAGTCCGGCTCGTTTTTTGGCTCGATGCACGGTTGAAGACGATACACCCAGCTTATTTGCGGCATCTCGGAGAGAGAGGTTAGGGTTTCGCTTGAAACTACCGGCAACTCTCTTTGTCGTCTCAGCGGCTTCTGGTTTTCGATTTCCCCCCGATCCAGACTTCCTGGCTGTCGACAAACGTTCCCCAAACACTTTAATTACATTTGTAACGGTTGGTTTGGTAACTTTTAGCGATTTTTCCAACTTTGCGTGCGAGTAGCTCGGATTTTCGCGATGCGCGAGCAAAATTTTGATACGCTGCTCTTCTTGCTTGGACGGCATTTTGACAACTGAAGAGTGAATTCCAAAATCAAAATAGGAGCAACATTCTACACACACACCTTCAAAATGAGGGGTGTTCAGGTTTTTTAAATGCAAAATTGAAAGAAATACGTCAAGTTGATACTGACCAAATTTTGACCGTATCACCCTTTATGTCACACTGCAAAATACAGTGTTGCCTACAGAGCAGCAGCTTGATCATGTCATAAGTTTACCAATCTCTTAAATAATTAATAATTTTTTCCTGTCTTGTTTTACATATTTAGAAACGATTTTCAGCAAAGTTGTAGCTGAGAAAATTTTCTATAATAATGGCTGTTGAGCTATTTCGCAGCTCAATATGGAAAAACACTAGATGGAAATGAACAAAAAGTAATTAACATGTAAACTTCAAATGGCTTGTGCGAAGCCTGTTTCTAACCAAATGAGTTGTATGAGTTTGGGAGGCTAATCAGGACACGATTTGAAACCATTTAAGCACTGTGGGAGCGAAAAAGTCAAATTTTGCATCAGTCTAATGGTTAGTTGGGGAATCTGATGAAACTGTCACTTCTTGAAACTGATCCCTTTCGTATTTCTTTCATTCTCTTTTCGCACACGAGCACTCGGTGGACCAGCGACTTTGGACGTGAGCCTCGTCCCAGTTCACCATGGCAAGATAGTGGACATGAAACCGACCACACCAACCAACGGGGAAGGAGTCAACATCGAACCAGGAACGGAAATTAGTGCGGATTTATCTCCCTAAGAAAACAAGAAAAACCCGGAAAAGGCGGAATCATGTTAGAACCACGGAAGGAAATTGTCGGTGAAGCACGGATTGAAATACGAAGCGTTAGAGAAAAACTCTAAGGGATTCCAAAAGAAGGAATTAACGGCGGCGGAAGAGCAGAATATGGTGAGAGCTGTCCAAATTAAATATCAAAATTAAACTAAATACATGCCAGGTTTGAAAATAATATTTTCGAACCTGGAAGTGTTTATATGTAACCAATATCCATTTGATAACGGTGATGCATACATGCGGGGCTTATTGTGAGTGAAAGTAACCTCGGAATGGGCGTGACTCTCCAGACATTCTGAAATGGGTTGCTGGATCTGCAATAGAGCTATCACCTTCTAACCCCCGGACTAAAGCTGTCTACAATGACCATAAATGCGACATTGTAGAGAGAGTTCTTCCATAATAACACTGCCGGCCAGTGGGGGTTAGAGGGAATACACACACACATATATCATGCATAAATATTAACTCAGCTGGCGTGCCCCTTGGAAAATTCCCTGAAAATCAATGTAATTGGGAAAAGTACACAAATAGTTTTTTTTTATTTTAATTTAAGCTTAGGGTGACCGTCTTACCCCGTCGCCCAATAGTCATATTATACTTTTTGCTTTCGCCATATTCCTTCCTAATTATCATACAACCGTACATCATCCGCTTTATTCGTTTTTTATCTCATAAATGTTCCTTCCAGTGGCCCCCTGTTTAACTCTTTTCGATCAGCCAGTGTTCGAATACTACGCCTTTGGCCCCGAACGTCACCGCGTACTTGTGTAAACACCGGCTTTTTTTTTCGTTTATCTTAGCCATATCTGATATAGGGGAAACGGCTCAAATGTTGACTCATCGATCTAAAGATATGGACAATGCAAATGAATATTTTTGGTTGCTGGTAAAAATTTGTTGAAAAATGCTTTCCTTCGAAATTTTAGTATGGTCCCAAGATTAGGGACATTAACCCTACGGCACCATCGCCTAAGTTTGAATCCCAAAAAAAAATCCCAAGTGAATTAACATGCAATTATTTAGGATGATTTCTCGAAGCACACTTTGATTAACTTACGAAAATTTGTAACCACAATCAATTCCTCTTGTGTGCATCTTTGCATTGGTGGGTTTATTTTGTCTGTTTGCATGTTTAGCTATTATACCTGACAAGCAGATTCTGAATATTTCCACTGTGCGAGCGACGTCGTCACGTTCTCCGATATCGCGCGTGCTCGCTCATTTCACTCTCCGATCCAATCTAACCCCCTGCCCTGCGCCATGCCATCGTCATCGCTCGCTCGCTGTTATATCGTAGCCGTAGGTATTAAGCCATAGAATGAAGTCATGGGAGAGAGAGAATGTGAGATATCAAGGCGCCCAATGCATTCTCGGCTCTTTGCACGAAACCAGTCAGCTCCAGACGTCGAAATCGCGATGACTGATACCAAGTGGTAGCGTGTTTCTCTCATTGTGCGACGGTAATCGCAACTTTTACAGATGATATAGGACGAGCAGAGTAATATAAACTCTTTTCCGTATCTACGGTGTATTTGCGTCAAGCACCAATTATTAACAATAGTAGGCGATAAAGCAATCAGAAGGCTGTGAGCAGCTTCGGGCTTGAAGGCCTGCTTGGTGGGTGTGTGAGAAGATTCGCCAACAAAGTGACTGACAACCGTCTTACTACCAGATCATCACAAAAAGGTGTGTTCTCTAAAAACATCTCCATTCAGTCTATTCCATTGAAGTGCATGTGTTTTCTGGATACCGAGTGTGTATAGTGAAAAAAAAAACGGGAAGCTCCAATCCATCGCCCCACTGACGACGTCACATTAATATTTACATATCGACCGGCTGCGTCGCCGTCTGGACGGAGGTGTGTTGTACCCTAATGAATGTGCATTCGTATTTGAAGTAAAAATTGCAATTTCTTGCTTTCGAGAAACTGATAAGTGTTACGCGACTTATTTCCAAACGGCCGTGTTAGTTCAAGGAAACTTTTTTTTTTCTTCTTTCATTCGGTACAAAATTAAAATATCGATCCGCGCATCATCCGACATCCAATGCTATGGGAAGTTTGACATGTCGCACATAAGCAAGCATCGTGGGCAAAGAACGGAGGTGCAAGGAGGTGAAGTAATATCTTCCGCAAACAACGCAGCATGCTTCAGGGTCCAATTGGCTTTGCTCGTTTTTTCTCCTTTTAATAACGACTTGAATATCGTGTCGGCTAACACACGGCAAAAGAGCGAGAAGTAACCTTGAAATTAGGCACCATCAAAGCCAACCACCATGAATGGATTAAGCAGTGTTTTTTTATTTGGTAAATTTAAACTTTAGGTAGAACAACACCTGTGATCTTGGCGTGGCGGGCTCCGTTGTAAAATAATAAGTTACACAGCAAGCGACTTCGCGTTTCTGTTTGTTATACATTACTACGTTCATTGATGTCTTCTAACCAACCGGTTTGTCGAAGTATCGACATAGCTTTGAGTCAATGTAAACAAAACACACTATGTCTACGAGGGGAAGAATGAAGTCTTCAATTGCGTGCGTTAGATTTGAATGGGGTTAGCGCTGACTAATTGTCTTGTGATCTTGAGATCTTGAGATCTTGGGGGCCTTTCGATAGCTATAGCTGGCAAAGTAGCGGCATGCCATTTCGGAGGCGGTGGGCTCGATTTTCGATTAGAACAATCATTATTTTAAGGTTGAAAAATTCTCAACTTTCTTGGGTTGTTGTGGGCAGGTGCAATGTTCCAGTTGGGATGTATTAACCAAAGAAGAAGAAGATGCAAAAGAATGCGATCTTGATTTAACGTAGCAGCGTCTTCATTGCATTCATGCCATCAATGCCGTAGAAAGTCATCCTACATTTAATTAACCGCCTGGTAAGCTTTAATCCTGCATCAGGTGAAGACAATTTAATTTTTTTCGCAGCATCTATCAATCTTTGTTAAAAATAGGTACCTACGATTATCACAGCAATACGGCTAGTCATCTCGATGAATTTTGCCTGAAACGACTGACGGCACATCATCATCAGTTAATAAAATCAATGGCATCAATTCTACCGAATAGCTGAAAAAATATTCTACCATGGTAGGCCTTGATTGGAATCATTAATGACACATTTGAACAATACCAGTCGACTGTGGAACCCTAAACGAAATGGTTACCATATCACATTCTCTACGATTTGAATAGAATTCCGCTGTAAAACACTCAAAATTTGCGTTTTGATATTCTAGCTTCATTAGAATCTTCAGTGTACAGACTAAAGAAATATTTAAGAGCAAAATAGATTTGAATACATATAAATTTTATCAATTTTCTATACAGGGTGATACCGATTTCACATGTACACAATTAAAAAAAATCCATTAAAACATTTTTATTTATTAATTTCCAAGTGAAATTCCTGATTAATTTAAATGTGACCACAGATAAACAGAATCCACTAAGAAGTACACATGCACTTTATATGTCACATGAATAGTATGTGTGGTCACACATGGTTTTTTATCTGTACACATATTAAGTATGTGTCCGACACATAGATATGATTTGTTGATCACATTGCAAGGGAATTAAACCCTACACGGTAAGAAAAAAGTACCCAAAAGTAAGTTCTTTTCACTCATTTCGGCACTATAGTGCAGGAACCCAATCGTAGGTAAAACAGGTCAAAGTAGTTTTCATTTACTTGTGTACAATTCGTATGGAATTTTCCACTAGCTTTCTACCCAAAAAGTAAGTTAGTTGTACCCAAAAGTAGGTAAATATGATTATACTCAACGTTGAGTTCCCACACTTTACTACCCCTGTTGGGTGGTTTTGCTCCTTCGTTTTTGACAACATTAGAAGGAGAAAAGGAGACAAACTAGTCAAAATTAGGTAAAAGTAAACTGTCCGTTGGGTACTTTTACTTGGGTGGGTAAATAAGTTTTCTTCTTCTTTTTTTTTAATATTCTTCGCTCATCATTTTCTAAATGTATTGGTAAAATTCAGCCCAGTGCCTGTCACCACGTCAAAACTGTCCATGTTTCATAAATATCAGCTGGTATGGTGAGGAAAGATTCACCATCTCTTTTCTTCCTTCATTTCAATACAACAGCAAATGTGACGTCACACTACCTAGTGCATACACGGAGATGAAAAACAACCCAAAATTAAGTACTTTTCCCTCAATTCCGGGGTTTAGCCCAATAACCCAAATTTGAGTAAATCGCATATTTTTTTTTTTTTTTTTCCTTTGGTTTGTTTTTTTCCGTCGATCTTGTTTTCCGTGCTGAGCACCAATGCTACCGACGTGCCAGGAAGGCAGCTCCCACACCTGGACCCTACCTATCGACCCATCAACTCATGAACCGGGGACCAACGGCTTTACTTCCCATCCGAAGGAAGGCGTGATCAGAGATGTTATGCCTCAGAACATCCCGGCGGCGCCGACTGGGATTGAACCCAGGCCTTCTGGGTGAGAGGTAATCACGCTTACCACTACACCACCGGCGCCGTTAAAAAATTGCATATAGTAGTTTCCATTTAACACCAGCAAAAAAAATTACCTACTCTTAAGTATATTCTACCCAAAATTAAGATTAATTCACGCAAATTTGAGAATATGCAACTTACTCAAAAGTAACTTATTGGGCTGAACTATATCGTTGGGTCGAATCTCTCGTTCCTTTTTTGACAACAATAACGAGTGCAAGTGAGAGGCTGAAGTCAATATTAAGTAAAAAGAACTCAAATTTTGGGTAGTATTTTTTCTCCGTGTTGTAGACAAAACATTCACATTTCCAGACCACGCTGTGAGAAATAGTCTTCACACTCCTGATGGCGGTAAGCTCCAACCGGTATTATCCTCTGATTAAATCCTGAACACGAATGTCCAGCTGTCATCGTGTCGACGCCGATGTTAATCAATACGATCCTTAATAAACATTTGGCAGATCCTTCAATCAGGGCCGGTATTGAAAGTTGATGCGAGTTGGAGCTTACCGCCATGAGAGGGAAAGCGAATGATACACGGTTAGAAAAAAGTACCCAAAATTAAGTTCTTTTCACTCATCTCGGCACTTTAGTGCAGGAGCCCAAAAGTAGGTAAAGCGGGTCAAAGTAATTTTGATTTACTTGTGTGCAGTTCGTATGGAATTTTCCACTAGCTTTTTTACCAAAAGTAAGTTAGTTGTACCCAACAGTAGGTAAATATGATTATACCCAACGTTGGGTTCCCACACTTTACTACCCCTGTTGGGTGGTTTTGCTCCTTCTTTTTTGACAACATTAGAAGGAGAAAATGAGACAAAATAGTCAAAAGTAGGTAAAAGTGAACTGGCCGTTGGGTACTTTTTTCTTACCGTGTAGGTTACGTGCACTGCTGCCATCTCTCCTGTTACACGGTAAGAAATAAGTACCCAATGGACAGTTTACCTACTTTTGACTAGTTTGCCTTCTTTTGTCTTTCTAATGTTGTCAAAAACAGAGAAGCAAAACCACCCAACAGGGGTAGTAAAGTGTGGGAACTCAACGTTGAGTATAATCATATTTACCTACTTTTGGGTACAACTAACTTACTTTTGGGTAGAAAGCTAGTGGAAAATTCCATACGAATTGTACACAAGTAAATGAAAACTACTTTGAACCGCTTTACCTACTTTTGGGTTCCTGCACTAAAGTGCCGAGATTAGCGAAAATAACTTACTTTTGGCTTTTGGATACTTTTTTCTTACCGTGTAGGATTTAATTCAATCTTCTGCGACTTTTTTAATTGGACTGGTAAATGCCCAAAATGGTCGTGTTTGATTTATTTATTCAGTTTCCCATATGTATCCACCATAAAATACTTCCACTCATCTATGCTTATGAGTCAAACTTCAAAATTACTAGTTAAGTAATTTAATTTAGTAGTAAAGTTGAAGTGGTTTTCTTGGTGATCAATTTTGTTCACCAAGAAATTTTTGAAGCAGTTGTTTTGAGTTTCGTATATTCGATTGCTGTAATTGTGCTATGCTTCGAAGAATACAAGTAAGTAAATACAGTGAATGTGTAAAACTTTCGTTCTAAAAACATGAAATACATGTTGTAAATTTTCGTATTAATAATGTGTGAATGTATGGGTCGTATGGGCACATTAATGATGATGATTGAATGATATTTCAATACAGAATACAAATTTACTTACCCTTTGTAGAACCTTAAAGTATTTTAGTTTAAATGTGCGTACAAATCGTACTGATAATAAGATTAAAATTTTCATTCGTATTTGATTTAAAGCAGCCATGGACGTAAAAACTGTGTGTTATTTTTTAGAAGCTGAAATCTCTTCTAAATTTGACTTGAGAGGAACAAAACCCATTAAGCGACTCATCAAATTAAATCAAAATTTGATATCAAAATCAATGGTGGCAAAAATTAAGTACCTTGGACCATATTGGCCACTTCCGGAAAAGTTCCAGGTGCCCCGGGAAAGTGACCAGAATCGGACTTGGATAATAACCTATCATGAGGCACATTAAAATACATCAAAATTCCATGGACCATCCGTTTGAGAAGCGAACGTGTAGCCAACCACGCCATGGGACCCCTCAACTTGAGAAGAATCGTAGTCTAGTGACTCTCACGAGTGTGTAGAGACAAAATTGAGCTTGGCTAAAAATCACGGCTACCGTGAAGGCACCATATTTGACGCGGTTCCTAAC